TTTAAATATTTGAAAATTTTGGGTACCGCAGCGCGCGGCCAAGTAGGCGCAAAACACTAAAACTTGCTTCAAGATTTCCAAATCCTAACAAATTTTGTATTAAACGATTACTCTTATCGAGCTAAAGAAATTGGTACCAAAATTAATAAGGGTCAGAAATTTCCACGCTGGTTATGGCTTTGCGCGCCTATATGGGCGTGTCCTTAAAATTTATTTTAATTTTTTATTTTGTGAAATTTTGATTTTGAAAATCTGATTTGATTATTTTTGACTTAGTATATTTTTGATATTTTTAAATTTTGCCGTTTGGAAATTTTGAAATTTTATTATTTTTAAATTTTTATATACTTATATATACGTATTTTTAGAAATTTTGTTGTGTGTGTGTGTGTTTTAATTAAATTTTTTTTTGTGTTTTGAAATTTTAATGAAAAAATTTTATTTTTATTTTTTATTTTTTAAAAACAGTTAGATAAATATTTATCTACATATTTAAATTATTTATTTAATTTTTTTAATTAAAAAAATATTTTTTTTCTTTTTAATTTTTAATTTTCTTCCTTTCTTCTTTAAAAATAAAATATTTTTCATTCTTTGTATTTTTATTCGCAATTTTTTATTTTATTTATTTTTTATTTTTTTTTCGTCCACCCACCCGCGCACATTTCTTTTATTTTATTTTATTTTTAAGAAGCAATTTTATTTTTGCCCACCCACAGAATTAACAAACAAAACTTTTTTACCAGACTTTTTTTTTCAAAAAAAATTTTTTTTCGTATATTTTCTCTTTCTTTAGGCAAGAATAAAATTTTTTTTTATTTATTTTGTTGTGTCCTTCACAATTCTCAACACTGTAAAATTAATTTTTTTTCAAAATTTCAATCTTTTTTTTTCATGAAGGGTCTTTCCCCACTAAACAATTAAATTTCCTTCAAAAAATCTCTCTCTCCTTCCGCTCTCTTATTTTTTTTATTTTCACGCAGTCCACTTAAAAAAATAGCCGTCGGCTAGTAAAATGACATTGAAAATGGCGAAAAGTTAAAAAATTAATTTTTAATTTATTTATTTTGATTTTAATTTATTTATTTTTAATAAATTTATTTTTTTGCCCACCCAAAGTAATTAAAAGATTATTATTTTCAACATTCTAATCAGTGTTTTAAATTTATTTTTAAAAATTTTATACGGTAAAATCCAGGCCATTGGATAGGTAAAGCATTCAGAGTATTTTTTATTTTTTTTCCATACGAGCTTTTTGCACCCACTTTTTAACTGATGCATTAGCCAAGCTTGTTTTTGCTTTCCTACTCGTTTTCTTATTCAACATAAATTATTTTATTCTTACATTATTTTACTCTATTTTTTTAACAATTTTTAGACATCTTAAATGTTTATTTAATGTTAATTTATAGGAGGTGTCCTGCTGTGTGTTGTCTAAAAAATTTATTTTTTAAATTTAATTTTTAAAATTTAAAAAAATTAAAATCAATTTTTACATCCATTTTTTAATCGAATTCACTCTTTATATTTATTTAATTAATTATTCAGTGCATTTGAAAATATGCACTTTGCAAAATTTAATTCGCTAATTCATTAAAAAATTTTTATTTATTTCTCTTATCTCCCCTATATTTTTTAATTAATTTATTTGCATTATTTATTAAAAAATATTTTAAATATTTTAAATTTTTATTATTTATTTATTATAACATCGTTAAAATAATGCTGATTTATTTTTAATTTTTTACCCATACGAGCTTTTTGCACACATTTTTTAACCGATGCATTTGCCAAGCTTGTTTTTGCTTTCCTTCTCGTTGATTGAGATACCTGTTAGAATTTGATATTTTTACCTTTGACGCCTTGTAATTTGACATTTTGACATTTTTTGACATTTTGTAATTTTTGTCATTTTGAAATTTTGACTTTTTGTAATTTTTATTTTTTAAATTTTGACATTTTCTAATATCCGTATTAAATTATTTAATTTTATTTTTGATTTAAAATCGAAAAGCCCTTGACCCTCCTATACTGAAATCTCTCTTTCCCCTCATAACTTTATTTTTTAAATATATTTTTTGTTTAATCGCTCAACAAGCGGATCCCCCCATTCATCATTAAAACAAATTAAATTAAAAAAAAGCACACACACAAATTTCTCGCTATATCCGCGCCGTTTTTTTTTCTTTTTATTTTTTAAATTTAATTCCCTTCTATTTTAAAAATAAACGGATCTTTTCTTCTAGAAATTAATTTTAAAAATTTGAAAATTAAATACTTACACTACTTTTCGTTGTTTGAAATTGTGTCAACTCAACTCTTTTTTTCAAAAAATAAAAAATAAATTTTTTTGTCGGGAGAAATAATTTGGGCTGGAATTCTAAAAGATTGGAAGATTTTTCTTTATATTTTAAAATTTTTAAATATTTTTTCCTTTAATTTTAAAGAGGTTTTAGCCTCATAGAACAAGGGCATTTCTAAAGGAACTTCAATTTAACACCTTAAAATCGACCAAAAACTCGATTTAAAAATTTTTTACCAGTCTAAAAACCTTTATTTACATTATTTTTACTCTTTACAATCCTTATTTTTAAAAAATAAATTGATTGCCAGCACCCGGATTCGAACCCGCACCCCTTTTATTTTTCAAGTCGGCGCCTTAACCCACTAGACTAAAAAGTACATTTTTTGTTATTTTTGTTTTGCCGTTCCCAAATGTTTTTCTGTCTGCTTTTTTTGCCCTTTAATTTAAATTTTATTTACATTGAGAAAAAAATTTTATTTTTAATTTTATATTTGGCATGTTGCCCCCCTTCATCTTTAATCCGCTAATTATTTTTAAATTTGCACTTTATTTTTAAAATTCTCTCTTTTTAAAAAATATTTTTTCTTCCCTTTTATTTTTATAAAATTTAGAAAAATCTTTTTATGGATTTCTCTTTTTAAAATTTATTATTTTTAAAAATTTTATATACTTTTTTTTTATTAAATTTTTAAATTTAAGTTTGGCTGTAAAATTATTTTTTTTTTAAGTTTTTCGGTTGCTGCTTATCCATATTAGGCTAGGGTACTTCCCCTTTTATTAGGCTAGGGTACTAGCCTAATATGGATAGTCAGCAACCAAAAAAGATAGAAAAAATAATTTTACACCCAACTTAAATTTAAGAATTTAATAAGAAAAAGTGTATAAATTTTAACCTTCGGAGACGGGGGAGTGTCGCGTTTCGGGGGTTGCCGGGATAGAGCCTTGAAGGTTCGGGACGGGGTTTTACCTAAAAATTCGTTGGGGTTCAGAGTTTAGGGGGACTTGGTAATACCCTAATCCCTACCTCTCTACACGCTCTTGAGTTCTCCTCTTCCTTGTTGTTTTTTTTTAATTTTAAATTTTCGAGGCCTTGGAAAAATATTTTTCCTCCTTCATTTAATCAACTACTTCCTCTTCTCCGTTTTTTTTAATTTTCCATGTTTTTAAAATTTTCTGAATTATCACTTCCTTATTTTATAATATTTTTTAATTACAACGTAGCTACAATATGATTCCTTCACTACAACAATTTAAAAAAATATTTTAAATTTTAACTAAAAAAAATTTTTTAAACAAATAAACAATATTTTATTTAATTTTGCAGCCATTTTCCCTATTTTTAATATTTGCTTTTGCTAAGAAAATCGTTTTTTTTAAATTTTACAATTCGAAAATTTTTATTTTTTTTTATTGGGGAAAACACCAAAAAATTGTAAAAATAAAATTTTAGAATTTTGTAGTGTCAGAAAAAAATTTTTTTTGAAAATAAATATGTATCACTCTACAAGAGATGGGTCGGAATTCCTAGTCCCGATATTTTTACCTTCCCATTTCCGGAAAGATTTTGGAAAAATTTCCAATTTCCGAGAATTTAAGGCCGATTTCCAAGTTCCGACTTTTGAGCCATTTCCGATTTCCGACATTTCCGATTTCTGGTACCTTCGTTATTTCCGTCCCACATCATCTCCCTACACCCAGAAAAAAATTTTTTAACCACAAAATATTTTTTTAAATATTTTTTGACTTGAAAAAAAAATAAAAAATAATTTTTGGTGTTAAACCAGTTTTGCTAGAATAAATAAATAAATTTATATTTTTATTTATTTTTCATTTTTGCTTAAATTTATTTTCTTCAAAAAAAGTTTTCTACCTATGTGTTTTAAATCTTTTTATTTATTCCTTCTATTTTCATTCAAAAAATTTTTTTAATTTTGTCTAAAATTTATTTTAAATATCTTTGGGCGCAGCAAAGCTTTGGCGTGCGCCTATAAAATTATACTTTAATGTCCACCTTTGAGCATGAAATTTTGCAAGGATATACTCACTAGTATTATCTACTAGCTCTAAAAATTTGAGAATTTTTGATTCATTTTTTGAAGAGTTATCAACATTAAAGTGGACACGCCTTTAATTTTTCCACGCCTCTAGTTCCTCTTCTCAAAATTTTCATAACTTTTCTTAAACATGGTCAAAAATTTTGAAATTTTTAGAGAACATAACTAACACTACATCCATAAAAAAATCCACATCTCAATGACTTCAATTTTTTAATTTATAGGACCAGGGACTTTGCCTTGTGTTGGTTAGAAACAACTCTTTTTTAGCCTACAACTCCACTTGTCTTAATTCCGATAATTTCCCTTCTGCAAATTCAAAAATTTTGAAATTTTTAGAGGGTATAGCTAATACTATTAGCTACATTTATACAAAATTTCAAGTCTTTATTACTTCAATTTTCCAAATTATAAATCCTAGAATTTGCCTTATTGCGTCTTATAGCATGTTTATCTCCCCTCCTCAAACTTTTTATAATTTTATTCCTACAAATACAAAAATTTATAAATTTTTAGAGAACATAGCTAACACTCTTAGGTACATCCTTACAAAATTTTAAGTCTTAGCGACTTCAAATTTTTAACTTATTAATCCTGGGACTTTGCCTTGTTGCGCTCAGAAACAAGTCTTTCTTTATTTCTTCTAAAATCTCCGCTTCTTTTTTTTCTTTTAATTTTATTTTTTTGTCATAAAAATTTTTATAAAAATGCTTGTTGTGTGAAGTATCCATGAAACTAGTTATTTTTATAAAATTTATTTTTATATTCTTTTCGAAGAAAAACACTCCTCCCCCACCAGCCAAAATAATCAAATTGCAAACTTTTTTTTTATTTTTATTTTTGCGCTTTGCTTTAGCGCGCTTCTTCTTCTTTGCTTTTTTTTCTTCCAAAATCGCTTCTCAGTCAGCTCACAATTTTTATATATTTTATTTTTTAATTTTTATTATTTTGTTTTACACACCAACTTGTTCGCTTAGCGCGAATAATATTTTTTTCTGGATTTTATTTTTAATAAATATTTAATTTAATTATAGGAGGCTATTTGAGTTTGGGAATTTTTAAGACTGTCATTTTTATTCAAATAATTCAAAAAAAATTTTTGGGTTTTATTTTTAGTTACATGTTTAGATTTAAATATGGGGTTGTTTAAGAATATTGTTGGGAGAATCTTTACTTACCCTCCTTCCAACCAAGATTTCTGTTATAATTGATAACGTGTAGCCTTATTAGTATTATTGCCGTTTTCGAGCCATGTCGACGTTCGAGTCATTTTTATTGGATCGGACCGACCGAGTCTTTTTCGGGTCAGAATTCGATGCCCGCCGACTCGATCTTTCGGACCTACTTTAACTCTTGAGGCCGGAGTTGGTTAATTTAAACGACCAAATGAATACCTGACTTTATTCTTCATCTTTTTATCTTAGAAAAAAATTTTTTGCAGCCTCTTTGATCCAATCACGTAGCGTGTAGTTAAAAAATAAGCTAGGGAAAATAGCAATTTTATTATACATAAAAAGCATTTTGTTTTCTTTCAAAAATTAAAAATATATTTTATAAAAATTGTGTGCTTTAGGCGACAATTAAAAAATAATATTAAAAAATATTTTGTTGTTATTACTGTCATTTTTAATTTTTATTTATGTTTTTTGGCCTTCTCTTTTCTCTCTCCTCCAAATCAACAACAACATGCTTTTTTAAAAATATTTTTTAAAGCTATTAGTTGTGAGGGTCCGACGTCTAATTTTTTCTTTGATTTTTGCCTCTTTAAAAATTCTTTTTTTTTATTTTTTGATTGCCAGCAAAACTATGCATGAAACGGAAAAAATATTTGTGTATGTGAATAAAAAATGTGGTAGGTGGGGGGTGTGATAGTTGCGCGTTGGAAAAATTAAATGAAACTTGGAAATTTAAATTAATTTTTAATAAAATTTTTGATTTAGAAAGGGGCTTTTTAATTAATTTTTTCTATTGACCAGCATAGAAAAAATCATAAAAAATCATGCTAGACTCTCTTCATAGCCTAAATCGGTTCTAATACGATCCCCCTTTTAAATCCTCTGAAAAAATCAACGATTGCCCGGACTTGACAGCTTATAACTCTTTACAGAATGATCGTATCATAGCGGTCTTCTTAGGAAAAAGAATTGGCACATTCAGGGCTTTCGAATGATATAAGGTTTATTCGAAATGGTCAAAAACTTAAAAAGTTATTAATCGAAATAGGACTCTGGGAAGGCGGGATTCTGTCTCTCTCATTTTTCTATGCTATTTCTATTGTCTCTCGCGCAATAATATTTTTTTAAATTAATTGTAGTTGAGCCAAACTTTTAATTCTTGGCTTTTAAAAAATTATTAACTCTAAACATTTATTTTCTTTTAATTTTTATTTTTTTCCTCCTTTGAAAAGTGATCTTTAGAGAGAGAGAAACTGCGCAAAAAAACACGCACCGTTTTATTTATTTTTTTTAAATTAATTTAAAAAATTAATTTTTATATTTTTTCCTTCTTTTCTTTCCTCTGTGTGGCGTATAATTAATTAATTTTTTATTTTTTTTAATTTTTGCGCTGCAAAACACACACAAATACCCAACAAAACAACAATGTCTGCGCACTCTCTCATTTTTCTATGCTATTTCCCTTTTGTCTGCTTAACTAAAAATTAAAAATATAATTTTTTTGGCTTCTGTTGGATTAAAAAAAAATAAATAAAGGAGAGGATAGGGAGAAAATTAAAAATAAATAAAAATACTAGAAAGAAAAAATTTTTTTCTGTTGAAGCAAATTAGTAGAAGAAAAAAAAATTTTTTTGTCGTTTTGTGGGAAAGAAAAACTGGAAAGTTTTTTTTGTTGTTGAAGTAAAAGGGGGAAAATATGTGAGGAAAAAGAAATTAATAAATTGAAAGGCTTTTCTAGCGCAACAATAAAAATTAATTTAAATTTTAAATATTAAAAAAAAATTTTTTTTTATTTTTTAATCCCTCATTCTGTGTATATTTTTAATCTTTTAACTTTCCCTTTGTTTTCTGTTTTAGTTTATCTAGCTGGGGATAAGTACCAAAATTGTTGGGAGGAGAATAAGATAAAATGGGGTATGGTAAGAGATAAATATAACTAATTGTGTTTCACCGGAACTGATATTTTGACCGGAAATAAAAAGCCGATCCAATTTGAGTTCCGGTCGAAACCAAAACCAAAAAACTCCAAAACTTTCCGGAACCGGAACTTCCGGAGAAACTCTAATAAATATAGGATAATATTATTGTTTTGGTCAGATCTGGGATAAGTTAAAAAATATTAAGTTGATTCTGATTAAAAAAAAGAGAGTCATTGGTATAATGCCAATATTTTGCGTTATGTTAAAAAATTTTTTTTCCTAAAATTCTCATTTTTTGATTATTTCAGAGCCAATTTCCTCCCTTTTTCTTTATTATAAGGATAACGGAAGGGATCCTCAAAAAATAACAAACAGCCTCTCCTAATTAATTCCCTAATTTAAACTTAAGGGGACTCGTTTGCCCCCCCCCTAGCAATTAAATATAGTAATTAGACCAATTTTAATTAATCATAAATCAAAATTTTTGGGCTATTTATTAGTTTAAAATTAGTCTTTTTTACTCTTTAAATATTGTTGCCTTAAAAAATTAATATTTTACAGCCCTCTAAAGTTTGGTCATTTTTAGGGTGTTTTTGGTCATTTTTTTATATTTAAAAAATTATTTTCTCCCCTATATTTTTTATTTTACCTTCTATTTCTCTTCAAGATTGATTACAAATCGAAAAATACACATATTTTCTGTCTTGCCATGTTGTAAATCAAAATATGGCATTCATCATTTTTATTTTTATAAAATGTCAAAACTTGGTTTCCCCCCTTTATTCTCCCCCTTTTTTTTTACTTTTACAAAATAAAAACATTAAATTGCAACATAAACATTTATTTTTATTTTTAAAAATAGCCGCACGCAGAAATAGCAAAAACAGCCTCCTCCTTTTCCTTATCTTTTTTAATTTTTATTTTGTAATTATTTTTAATTTTGTTAATTTATTGAGTTGTGAGATAAGCTTGTTTAGGTAATTAATTTTGGGCTATTAATTTAATTATTCTAATTATAGGACTTTTTAAAAAAATTTTTTAAAGTAAGGAGGACTAGTACTCCTGGAACGGTGACTTGAGTTGCTTCTATTTTCCATAACTCAAGTTGAAATTGTCCAATTGGAAAAATTTTGGGCTTTTTCGATAGAGAATTAAATTAGATACAAAATACATTTATTAATTAAATTATTCTAATTGTAGGACTTTTTAAAAAATTTTTAATTAAAGAAGACCATAGGTTCTGAAGAGGGTAACCTAAGTTGCTTCTTTTGTTCATAACTCGAGAATGGGAAGTCCTTTTGGAATAATTTTAGGCTCATCTTATAGGGAATTTAATTAGCTACAAAATACTAGAAAATTGAAACTTTAGGTTTACCGACAAAAAAAGTTTTGGTCAAAAAACTAAACTTTTAAGTGATTTTTTGGTTATTTTTCGAACATATCATTTTTATTATTTTACCTATAATTTTACTTTTTATATCATTTTCAGACAAATTTAATCCTCTATTTTTTAATACTTCCTAGAAAGTTTAAAAGATTATTTTTTGAAAAAAGTTATGGGGGTTAAAACATAATTAGGTCTGGGGCATTTTAAAGGGGTTTTCTCCTTTTCCTCTTTCTCCCCTTATTTAATTTTTGACTTATTAAAAATTTAAATTTTTAGTGAAATAAAATATTCTTTCGTTTTTTAATGTTTGACATTCTCCCTTTTTTTAAATAATTTATCAAAAACCATCTTTGACCCTTTTCTGCATTTTAATCTTATTTTAAAAAATTTTTAATCGCCGAACATACGCACACAATAATTTTAAACACAAAATTTTATATAATTTATTTGAACATTTAGTTAAAAAAATTTTTAAATTTAATATTTTATGTAAAACTGTCAAAGTAACGGAAATGACATATTTTAGTAATTAATGGGGTTTTATATTTTAATTTTTGGGAGTCTCTCCATTAAAATATTATTCTCTCTTAAAAAATGCGCTTAAATTTATTAATTTAAAATTTAATTCTGCAAACTTAAGATTCCGGAAAGGGGTGTATTTGTTTTTTCCGGAAACGGTTAAGAATATAATTTTATTCTTGTTCCGGAAGAGAAAATACAATTTTCCGGAAAAGTTAATATTAAAGTTTGCAAACTTAAAATTTATTTGTGTTCTAGTTTCCGGAAGAAAATATAATATATATTAAAGTTTTCCGGAAAGCTTACAACTACAAACTTTAGAAGTTTACAAACTTAAAGTAATCCGGAAACCTTTCCGGAAAACTTTAATTATTATATTAAATAAATACTGTTTCCGGAAAACTTATTTCTATAGGAGAAATACAACTTTTCCGGAATCTTAAGTTTGTAAACTTTAAAGTTTATAATCTTAAAATTTTTCCGGAAAACTAATTTCTTTTTTATTCTCTTCCGGAAAATCTAATTAAATTTATTTTACTATTTTTACCCTTCCATTTCTCACGATAATTTATTTATTAAATTTACCGAATTGACAATTGACCGATTTAATTTTATTTAAATTTATAATATTTTTTAAATTTTTTTTTATTAATTTTTCTTTTGTTCAATTTTTAATCATTTTATTTAATTTATAATTTTATTTATTTTTCAGTAGATAGATAATTCTCATATGAGAAAAAATAAAATGATGGGCATTACCATTAAAACAACAAAAATAATATCAACAAATTTTATTAAATCAGTATCATCATATTAATTTTTAAAAAATTTTTTCACTCATTTAAAATTTTGACTTTCTACACATTTAAACAACGATATATTTATTTTTTCTTTCAGAAAAAAAATTTTTTGAAAAATTTTAAAATCCCGTATTCTCTACAATATATTTTTTTTAAATTTGACTACACATCCAAAATTATTTTTTTTTGTTTAAATGCAAAATTTAGCTGCTTCAGCAAATCTACAGCTTTTCTCGAAGGGTAGGCAAAATTTAAGAAATTAAAATTAATTAAAAAAAATTTTTTTCTTTAAAGCTCTTCAAGAAACTGCCCAACAACCAAACGACACTTCAGAACATAAACAACAGCAGCAGCAAAATCCTGTAATTTCTGCTGCTGATTTGCAACATTATATGTTTCCTCATTTGGAAAATCATTTGGATCAGGCAAGTTTTTTTGTAAATTTATTATAATAAATTAAAAAAAAATTTTTCCGATTCTTCTCCACAGCAACATAACCTGCAACTTAGAGCCGTTTCAGTGGCACTGAAATAAATAAAAAATTTTCTCTTTTTCTATATCGCTCTATTTTTTTCGCATGCTATTTCTCCAAAGATTTGATGTATAATTTCGAGAAGCCTTATCTCGGAAAAAAACTTTGAGAAAAAAATTTCAACTTAGCCAAATCGTTAAACAAAGTCTTATCTTTGTTTTAAAACCAAATTTATTGATTTTTAATATGTTTAAAAAAAGTTACATATGGCTTTATAAGTAAATTTAGAAAATGAAAAATAAAGGAAAAAATTGTTTTGAAAAAATTTATTTTAATTTAAAATGACATTAAATGTTAATTAGAAAAGATATTATTAGGATTTCCTTATTATATAATTAATTTTCACTGAAAGGATTCGAACCTCTTGCATTTTTCGCTGCCACTAACCAACTAAACCATACTCCCGCACTGAAACGCTGGTTGCACCCTCTGCCTGTTTTATGTTGCTGTGTTCTCTGCGTTTTTCTTACTATTTTTAAATTGTCGACATTTTGTCATTCTCTAATTTTGTCTGGTGTTCCGACAATTGCGGGTGATAGTTTCGTATTAACAATAGTGGATATAAAATTCAAAAAAAAAATTAAGAAAATAAGTAAAAGAGCAATTATGGAGTGGCTGTTGACAGATTCCGTCCTAACCCTAGGGTCTTAAATTATTTCTGACTTGATAGAGGGTTGAAAAAATTTTTTTTAATTTTACATCCACAATTGTCGCATCCGCAATTGTCGCAACACCATTTTGACTTGTTTTAATTTTTCTCTTTTTCTATTTTCAAATTTAACAGAAAAGTTTATATGTATGTATACGATTTATTAATTTAATAATAAATTAACAATAAAAGAAAAGAAAAAATTGCGAAATTTAGCGAGCCATTAATTTTCTTTATTAAAATTTATATTTATGAGTAATTTAAAGAATTTAAAATAGTTTTTGTGAAATTTAAAGAAAAAAGATATGTGGGGGAGAGCCTTTTAAACGAAAAAAAAGTAAAAAAATCATCATCACGCGCTATTAAAAATTCCATAAAATTTAAAGGAAAAAAAAAAGAAATTACTCTAAAAATAAATTTATTTTTATTTTAAAATATAATTATTTTTAAGATTTTATAACAGATGATAATTAAATTGTTTTTTTTTTAATATTTTTATTTTTGCAAGAATATATTTTTAATTTTTATTAAATATTATTATTTTTCCCCTTAAGAATTTATTAAAAACATTTAATGTTTTCAGAATACTTTTCAGAATTTTTAAAAAACCAGAATTTCAAATAAACATGTTTATAAACATGTTTTGTTTTCATATAAATATGTTTTGTATTAATTCTGATTTTTAAAATAAAAATCAGAATTTTAAAATTAAAAATTCTGAACTTGTTTTAAATTAATTCTGATTTGTTTTTCTCTAAATCAGAATTAAAAACAAACATTTCACAAACTCTTTTCGCAACAAGCTATTAATTCCGGTTTTTAAAATATAAGTTTGCGAAATGTTTATTGTTGTTACTTAATTCTGATTTTTATTTTTTGTTATACAAAACCAGAATTAATTAAATTCTAAATTATATTTTTTATGTTTTTTTTTGAATTTTGCAAAACTTATTTTTATTTTTAATTTATTAAATTAATATTATTTACCACTTTGCACGTTTTTAACATTCAAATTAAATTTAAAATTAAATTAATAACACATTTATTTATTTTTTATATAATTAAATATTTAAAATTGTAAGCAATAAAAAAATATGACAAATATAGTAGCAATCAACCAAAAAGCAGGCAATTAAAAATAAATTTTTAAAAAATTTATTTATTTTTTTAAATTACTTGGAATTTGCAGCGCGATTAAGTAACTTTAATTTTGCAAATATTTTTTTGAAAAAATATTTTTTTAATTGAGAAACAATTTTTTTTAGATTTTAGATGAATCATATTTTATAAAAAAAATTTTATTTTTGAATTTTTTAGCGAAAAATTATTTTTTATTTTTAGCCTAAAGTCTTTAGTTTTTAGCCTAAGAATGACTGTATAATACCTACTAATCCTCTTAAAAATGCCTATTAAAAAATTCCTTAAAAATTCTAAATTTTTTTTTTGAAATTTATTTTTCTTAATAAATAGCCTTATTATATAGGTTATTTATTAGCTTAAACAATTTTTATTTTAGTCTTTTATTTTTTTCTTTCTAATAACATTATATCCCACTTTTGCAAATTTACATATTTAACTGTCGCACCCTTTTTTAAATTAAATTTATTTTTTTTATTTTCTTATAATTTAAAATAAAATATATATGTTATTTGCTTCATATTATTTTTGTTTTTTTTTTATTAAATTATTTTTTACTAATTATTTTCTAATTTTTCTCCTTTAATAAAAATATAAAATAATTTATTGACCAAACAACAAGCAAAAACAAATTATTATTTTTATTTTTTAAAAATAGTAGTTTGGCTTATTTTTATTGCCATAAGACTAGTTAAATTGTAAAAAAATAAATAACGATACTTTATTTATTTTTTTAATATTAAAATGATTTTTTGTTGTTAGGGAATTGTGATTATTATTTGCGTTATTTGCGCACACCCAGACAAATTCAGAATTTAATTTAAAAATTCTGATTTGAACAATATCAGAATTTTAACTAAACATTGTTTATATTTAATTCTGATATTACCAGAATTTTTATTTATGTTTAAATTAAATTCTGATTTCAAAAACATTACCAGAATTTTAATTAAACTTGTTTATATTAAATTCTGGTTTTTTAAAACATCAGAATTTTGGCTAAACATTGTTTTTATTTGTTTAAGCAACAAATCAGAATTTTAACTACACCTAGTTTTATTTAATTCTGATCTAAAAAATATTATCAGAATTATTTGTTGGTCATGTTTATATTAAATTCTGATTTCAAAAACATTCAAAACATCAGAATTTTTAAATAAATTTGTTTGTATTTAATTCTGTTCTTATTTTGTGTTTTCTTTTTTAATTCTGATTTAATCTTTTAATTTCTTCTCTATAAACCCCCTATCTATAAATATTTTTTATTTAACCATTTTTACATAAAAAAAATTTTTTTTAATTTTTAAAATTTTTTTAATATTTCAGCAACTTTATTTCAACGACCATTTATCAAATAATTATGTTTCTGCCCCAGAAACAACTTCAACAATAAATAATTGTTCTTCAACATCGCCTACTTCATTAATATTTTCTTCTACAGCCTCCCAACAACCTTCAAATAATACAGTTATATCTTCAAATAATTGTTATTCTGATACAGAAATACCCTCAACAACAACTACCAATAATATTTCATTTTTATTACCAGAAGAAATGGGAAGTCCAAAGCAACAACAACAGTTGCAACAACAACAACAACAGCAGCAACAACGCTTACCTCCAACAACGTCAATAAAAAAAGAATCTATAACAACATCAATAGCAACGACAACAAATGCTTCTTCGTCTGCTGTTCCCCAATTTTCTCCTACTTCAAATATTGAAAATGAAAGAAATTTAAATTTAGCACAACAAAAAATTGTTGATCAATTACTTGAAGCGGGAGGAATATTTAATTCTTTAGAAAATAATTTGGGAGGAGGAAATGATGAATTGGGGCAATTAATGGCACAATTAATCAGTGGAAGCAATAATAGAAATGAAACAGAATTGCAAGCAGCACAGTTAGCTCAACATTTAGTGGCTGCAACGACTGGAGGAAGTGGTGGTGGTGGTGATGTTTTGGTGGGTTTAAAAACATTTTAATATTTCATAATATTTAAATTCTTAAAAACCAGAATTTCAAATAAACATGTTAGTTATCTCTCACTAAAAATCAGAATTTGTTTTTAATTAATTCTGATTTTTCAAACACTAATCAGAATTAATTAAAAACAATAAACATTTCACAAACTTTTTTAATTCTGGTTTTTAAAATACAAGTTTGCGATTATTGTTTTTAAATTATCAGAATTAAACATGTTTGTGAGGTGTTTGTTTTTAATTCTGATTTTCATTTTAAAAACCAGAATATAAATTAAGTTTGTGAAATGTCTATTGTTTTTAATCAATTCTGATTTGTGTTTTACAAAACAGAATAAATCAAGTTTGCGAATAAAATCTCAATTAACACAAAATCTATTTGCTTTACTAATTTTGTTTAAGAAACAAGTCTGTAAATAACCAAACATTATTTTTTAAATTATTTAATTATTTAATTTTTATTTCTTTGAAAATAAAAAATTGCCTTCTTTTCAATTTTTTAAAATATGGCTCCACAAATTAAATTATCCTTTATAAAGTAATAAAATTTATTAAAATTACATATTTTTGTCAATTATATAAAATATTAAATTTCTTTTTTAAATTTTTATTTTATTAATTTTATCAGTAAAATTTTTGTTGTTATTTTAAATTTAAAATAAGAAATTCTGGTTTCCTTGGTTTAACGGAAATTCTGATATAGAATAAATATTCTGATCATTCTGATTATATTCTGATTACAAACTTAATTTTATGTTTCGCAAACTTAATTCTGGTTTTTTATTACGAACTTAATTTTGATTATTTAATTCTGGTTTATATTTCATAAACTTTATTCTGGTTTTTATTTAAGAACTTAGTTCCGGTTTTTATTTTACAAACTTAATTCTGACTAACTTAATTCTGATTATTTAATTCTGGTTATTAATTCTGGTTTATATTTCACCAACTTAGTTCTGGTTTATATTTCGCCAACTTAGTTCTGGTTTATATTTCATAAACTTAGTTCTGGTTTTTATTTCAAACTTAATTCTGATTTTTCACAAACTTAGTTCTGATTTATATTTCACAAACTTAATTCTGATTTATATTTCAGAAAGTTTTTATTTCGCAAACTTGTTTCTCCTCTTTTATTATATACTTAATTCTGGTTTTATTTCGCAAACTTGATTTTTTGTTTATAAAATGTATTAATCAGAATTAATTTAAAACAATGTTCTTATTGTTTTTAAGATCAATCTTGTGTTTGTTTAAAATTCTTGTTTTTAAACACACACTCGCATAAATATTTCATTCAGAATAACATAATAAATTCTTGACAAATCTTTTTAAAAAATTTTTTTAATATTTTTTTAAATATTTTTTAAAATTATTTTTCAAAAAATTTTTTAAATTAAAAAAATTATTTTTCAAGTCCCCTTCTTCATCTCAACAACAAATCTCATTACTTGACCAACTCCATTTACTACAAATGTTGGGAGGCAATAACAACGCTTTAGCAGAATTATTTTCTGGTCAACATTTTGCAACATCTTCAGGTCACGAACAACAACTTTTTGGTAGTGGAGGAGGTGGAGGTGGAAAATTTACAAGTGGTGGTAGTCCAAACAAGGACGATACTTATTGTGAAATTTGTAATAAAAATCTTTGCAATCGCTATTTTTTAAAAATACATATGTCTAAAAAACATGGAATTGGTGAAAGAGTGGGTGTTTTTAATTTTTTGTTAAATTAAAAATTAGAAGGTATATCTTCTAAAATTAGAGGCTGAACGTGTCCTTGGCTTTCCTATTTTCACTTTTTTTGACTCCCAAAAATTTTCAAACTCTCCTTCTTTTAGTTTGTAAATCTCAGTGGATGTATTTTTACTCACGTAGGTAGGCCACTGGGTAAAATCAGAACTGTCTAAGTGATACTTCTCGATTTAAGTTACTGCTTAGAACAGTTATCTATTTAATTAATGTTTTAATTAATTAGGCCAAAGGTTATAAAATTTTCTTCTGTCTATTTTCTATATTCTCGATGTTTAAGCAATACCTCTGGATTTAAGTTACTACTCATTATAATATTTTGGGAAATTTTCCCAGCTATAAGCTTGTATTTCATTTTTTCTCAGCCTGTATTTTTTATATTTTTAAGTTTCAGTCTCCAGTCAAACTCGGAAACAGCAACTTTTTTAATTACCAAATTCCCACTTCTACGGAACAACAACAACAAAATTCTCAACAATTACCTGGAAGAGCTCAATCAGCCACCTTATTGAATACTAATCGAAGAGAATCTCCACCAATTAATTCATTTAATAATTCAAAAACTTCAATACAAAAACAAGAAGAACTTCAACAATTTTTGTGTTCGTCTACGCCTGCTTCAGTTAATAATAATAATAATTTGGGTGGAGGTTCTACTAATAATTCTGCTGCAAACTCTTCTAATTTATTGGAAACATCGCCTACTGCTGCTGGTGGGGAATTTTTTTTTAATTAAATAATTAAATAAATTAAAAAAATTTTTTTATTTTGGGAAATATTTTACCTATTTTTGAATTTATACTTAAAATTTTTTTTTAATTTTTTAAAAATTAAAAAAAAATTTTTTTTCGCAAGGATTCTGATTTTATTTAAATTTTCTGGAGTGTTCTGATATGTAATTCTGTTATTAATTTTCTGATGTTCTGGTTTATATTTTGTTTATTCTGGTTTTGTTTAAATTCTGATTTCTTTGTTTTTCTGAGTATTAATAGCTATGTTTTTTTTAAATTCTGATGGGGTGGTTTTGTTTTGTTTTTCTAGTATAACTAATAGTATGTTTTATTTAAATTCTGATTTTCTTCCTATGTTTGTCTATGTTTTTTTTTAATTCTGATTTATTCTGTATTTCCTGTTCTCTTGTTTTATTCAAATTCTGATTTTGTCATTTTTAATATTTAATTTAATTTGTCCGCATTTTTATAGTATACTAATTAATTTATTTTTAAATTTATATTACTTACATTTTTTAATAAATAATATTTTTTAATTAAGAAAAAAAAATATTTTTTGTGTTTTAAACTTGAAACACTAAAAAAAATTTTTTTTAATTTTTGTGCTCTTCTAAAATTTTTTTAAATTTTATTTTCTCTCTTTTTATTAAAAATTCATTTTCTAGCGTTACTTATAGGAGGTATTAATCTTTCTTCTACTTTAAAAATATTTTTACAACATTTAAAAAAAATTCCATTTTTTCTGTAAAAATAAAAAATATTATAAAAATAATATTTAAACTATTTTTGAATATTTAAAATTAATTTTTATTTTTTAGCAAAAATTAAAAAAATAAACGAAAATAATTAATTTTGCAAGCTATTTTAATTTCCTAAAATTTTTGAATTTTTTTTAAATTTTCTTAAAATAAAACAAATTTTGAATTTTTATATGTGTTTTAAAAATGACTATTTTTTCTTCTATTATTTTTCTGTTATTTTTAATTTTTATAGAAAAAATGGAATTTTAAAAATAAAAGCAGGAAGGAAGGAAATTCCTACGGAAATTCTTAAAATAGCTTGCAAAATTTAATTTTATTTTTTTATTTTTTAAAATTAATTTAAAAACAAAATTAGATTGAAATTTATTTTTAGAAATTTTAGTAAAAAAAATTTATTTCCAAAAAATTGAAAACAATACCTACATAAATGTAGTCATTATCTTATTTTTTTTAATTTAAAAATTACCGGAAAAAAATTTTAAAATATTCAAAAAAAAATTTTTTTTTAATTTTTTTGGCTCATTTTGGTTTAAAAAATTATTTTTTATACAAAAATATACACATGATTAAATACATTTTTCGAAAATTAAAAAAAATTTTTTTTTAATTTCTCTTATGCTTTTCTCAATTTAATTTAATTCAAGGAAAAAGGGGCTCTCCTTTTCATATTTTCTATTTTTAAATATTTTTTAAAAAATGTTGAAAAGAGAATGGGTGACGAATTGTGTATTATGTAAGTAGCCTTTCTCTCCTCTCTTTTTTAAAAATATTTTTAATTATGTAGAAATTAATTGTATTATTTTTAAAATTTATTTTTGTTTTTATTTTCTGTGTAAAGCTTAAATTAAATTTAATTGAGAAAATAATATAATTAATTTTGTATAAAAAATTTATTTTTTTTTTATTTTTAAAAAATATTATTCTTATATGAATTATAAGTAAGTAATTTATTTAATTTATTATTCCCATTTTTTAAATATTCAGAAAAATATTTTTTTTCTAATTAAAAATATTTTTTTCACAAAAATAAATATTTTATTTAATTTTATTTTATTATTTTTGCAAAAAATATGCTAATATTTAATTATGTATTTTGTGTGAAGCCAAAAAATAAATATACTAAATATTTAATAATTTACTGTAAGCATTTTTGCAATAGAATTTTTATTTTAAATGTGTTTGCGTATGCGCATTTCTCCTGTTTGTGTAGTTTGATTTTTTAAACTTTTTTTTATTAATAAACTTATTAGCGGATTACTGCAAGCATTTAAATATATTTGCGGACAAATTCTGATTTTTAAATTCTGATTTTTAGAATTCTGATTTTTAATTTAATTTCTGATTAATTCTGATGTGTTTTATTCTACATATTATAGTTATTCTGATGTTTTGATTTGTTTTATTTTTATTCTGATTTTATTTTTAATTCTGATGATGTTTTTATAGATAATTGTGTTATGTTTTGTTTAAATTCTGATTTTGTTATTTTTTAATTCTGATTTTGTTTTTATTTAGCCAAAGCTGTGTTTTGTTTTATTTAAATTCTGGTTTTAATTTTATTCTGGTTTTAATTTAATTCTGATTTTGTCTTTCTATTCTAATGTTTTAATTAAATTCTGATTTTTCTGTTTCCCTTCTTTTAATAAGTAATATATTTTGGTTTTTTTTAATTCTGATTTTATTATTTTTAATTTTCGTCTTAAATCGTCCGCAATTTTTAAATTTTCTGCTTTTTATAAATACCCTTTAATTAATTATTT